GCAAGGAAACCGTCGGGTCTTCTAAGGCAGAGGTTAACTGGCGCAGCACTGAATGAGTCCTACCGTGGCTTACAGTTTCCCCTGGGCGCCTCAAATGCTTGGAGAGTTTTGGTTTATTTGGCGGGCTGGGTACTGAACATCTGTTGTTGGATCATCTCAACCCGGATCCAGTTTGTTCTGTGTCAACTGTTAAATGGCTTTGATTGATGTTTTAGAGCTGCAGCTCTGTTTAGAATGTAGCTAAGGGCACTCAACACCTTGCTTGGCTTTTGCCCCCCTGGACTGATTTGAAGTCTGCTCTATGACAATACCCCAAGGCTAACAGGGCTCTGCTTGTGCTCCGCCACTTATGTCCTCTATATTCACCCAGCTGCTGCGCCTACACTCTCACTGGCCTTCCCTGGTCCAAACTGACCCTCCACGAGGGAAGAAATGTAGAGCTGGAAGTCACCTTGGAGTGTTTTTCAAATTTTAGCCTCTAATATACCACCTTTACAGGGTTTTTTTGCCGCATGGGTGGATCATCTGAACTAGTCTTTACCTCATATACTTTCTTTACATCGACTAAGCTTTTTAATCTAAATATCTAATTTAGCTTCATAGAATTGACGGGAGAGTTATCTTTTTTGAATACACATTTAATATAAATTCAAAACTAATCAGTCTAAGAAATTTTGCCATATACTACCTCAAATCATCTCATGTACAAATAGCACACTTTGGGAAACCCTGATCTGGTCTATCTCTTCATTTTACAGATTAAGAAACAGGTTCAGAGAGGTTTGGTTTGTCACAGGCTAGTTAGATCAATTCTTGGGATTCGAACCTATCTCCTAGCTCCTGGTCTAGTGCTTTTTTTCTTTATTATGCCTAGGGTTAGTCTAGGGTTCTGCACACTATTATTATTATTATTTTTGTTTTGTTTTGTTTTGTTTTTTGTGGTCCGCGGGCTTCTCACTGTTGTGGCCTCTCCCGTTGCGGAGCACAGGCTCTGGATGCGCAGGCTCAGCGGCCACGGCTCACGGGCCTAGCCGCTCCGCGGCATGTGGGATCTTCCCGGACCGGGGCACGAACCCGTGTCCCCTGCATTGGCAGGCGGACTCTCAACCACTGCGCCCCCAGGGAAGCCCAGTGCACACTGTTATTGACATATATGAAACAAATCACAATACACAACATGCCTGGGAATGCAGTGGAAAGGATCCTGATCCAGGACCTTACCATGAAAGAGAGAGAGGCTGCTTGACTGACAAATTGTATACCTGCTGGTTACCTCTGGTACTAAAGTAGAGACACATTACCACCTTAGGGAGAGTTCTGGAAGAGGAAATAACAGTCAATTGTGGAACAACCCCTAAAAAGAAATGACACCACTGACTGATACAGAATTTGTAAGAGACTTACTAACTCTTTGATTATTGGCATGTCCACTTCTGGCCTGACCAGATCACATCTCTGGCCTGTGCTCCCGATGAAATCTTTTGTTTCTTCCAGGGGTTTCAACAAGTTAGAACTTTCTGCAGCTTGTTGTCCATTCTGAAATGTACACCTTGACCTATGAAAGGTCTTTGTTGAAACATTTACAGAATATCCAGGTCTTGTCACTTTAGGATTGCTACCAGGGAAGGTCCGTGTAAAAGCACATAGAAGTCATTGCTGGATAGATGGGACTTAGTAGCAAAGGGGACACTTGGGGCTCTGGTGCAGGTGGTTCCAGAAAGCTTAGGTAGGCAGTGTGAGTGTTTTTGATTTTGCATCTGTAGAAGAAGGCAGTGGTTCTGTGCTGTTGTTACACCAAGATTCAGATGAGAACTTCTTCCCTTGTGTATGTGTCCTCAGCTTTCATCCAGCTGGCTCATCTTGAAAGGAAACATCTTCTTAGCTCCACTTACCCGTTTTTGATCATCTAAATGACTTCTAAATAGTTTTGGTTTGCTGTGTGTATCTATGTATATGTGTTTTGGGGGTATTTTTAGCTGCTTAAAAAAATCTGGTAACCACAGAAGGCATAATGTGGCTCATTGTTTTATCAGAGGTTAGTAACGGTTCCTATCTGTATTGCCCATATGCAATTTGATATAGAGAACAGGGACTTATGGAGACACATGGCTGTGTTCAAATGGAAAGAAGGTCACTAGAGGAAGAGAAGGGGTGGCAGCTCAAAGCATGGTAAATGAATTCATGTTTTCATTATCCAGACTGACATGACACTATATATTACATTCTTTCTGAGGGAACAGACTTTGCTTATTCTTGTAGTAGGCATCTTTCCAAGGTTTCATAATTCTGAGTTCTGTGTTAGGCATCCAGTTTACCATTCTTTTCCCCAACCTTGTCCTAGTGATTTTCTCTTGCAGTTCTGTCACTCTACATGCTTTCACTTCTGTCAGGTCTGGGTCTCAAAATTGAAACCAAAGTTCTGAAGGATTGTCAGTAGGATTAGAGAGGCCCAGTTAGAAATCCAGAATGGGAAAGGCCTTTATAGATCATCTGGTCACCTTACGCCAACTGAGACAGCCATTGATGTGCAGGGCTCAGGCTTAGATCTTTTAACATAGAACCTGCCTCCAGGACGTGAGTTAGCCGACCGTCTCCAGCTTCAGGCGCCTTCAGGATTTACCCCAGCTCGCAAGCGGGAGGTGGGTGCTTCCCAGGCAGTTGCCAGCCAGTGGCTGCGCAAGGTCGGGGTACAGTGGCTTGCCATTTGGGGGCAGCATGGGCCTCCTCCAGGTGGAGTTGTTGCACTGTAGCTCCCAGGTGTGCTAGCCCATGGTCTGAAGATCTTTTTTTTTAACTTTTAATTTTATATCGGAGCATAGTTGATTAACAACGTTGTGTTAGTTTCAGGTGTACAGCAAAGTGATTCAGTTATATACATACGTGTATCTATTCTTTTTCAGATTCTTTTCCCATTTAGGTTGTTACATAAATATTGAGCAGAGTTCCCTATGCTATACAGTAGGTCCTTGTTGGTTAAACATTTTAAATATAGCAGCGTGTACATGTCAATCCCAGACTCCCTAACTATCCCTCAAACTTCCTTCCTTTTCCCCTCCTTCGCTGATATCAGACCTGAATTGTGGTCTGAAGGGCTCCCTTGCTACTTGTGTCCCTCTCCCTTTTGTTTTTCACAGGCATTACTCCCAATAAATGTCTTGCACTTCTATTTATATCTCAGCATCTGCTTCTAAAGGATCCAGCCAATACATCAGCGAACTCCCCACTCCCATCTGAGTTTTACAGTATGGAAACCGAGGTCCTCAAAGGTGAGGTGACTTATCCAACATCCCATAGCTAGTGAGTAGCAAAGTCAGTAGGACAACCCAAAGTCTCTGACCCCTAGTTCAGTGCTCTTTCCCAAACTTCAGTCATCCGTGTAGCACCACAACTGCATATACCCCAAACAGATTTTGCTATATCTGTTTACAGCAACATGCTATTGTTTACTTGACACATTTGACATAAACAATTATTTCATTTGTTGTTAAATCTCTAGCCCTGTATGAAGTAATAGCATCCATAAAATTTGGGTTTTGATGTGCTAGTTTTATGTTTTTCTAGTACATAGTAAATAAATACATTTACCATTGTAATAAAAAAAAAGTTCGTGTGTGCACTACCTAAAGTTGTCTCATGTACCATCAGTGCTGAGTGAACCCTAGGCAGAGGAGAAGAGGAAGCGAGACGGAAGAAGGAAGGAAGAGAGGAAGGAAGGAAGGAGAACAAAATACTTATGGGTGAGAAAGAAATGGTAAAAATCCATCAATACCTGCCTCAGATACCTTGCTATAACCTCCACGTTTCCTGCCAAAGCCTGGCCTAACCCCCAGCGAGTCAACAAACATCCTTTACCTATCAGTTGTCTAAAAACAAATTGGATGTACTCAGATGTAAATTAAGAATCAAGATTTCTTCTCCTAAAAGAGTCGATTCATTTATCCCTACAATGGACTGAAGCGCTCCACTTTGAGCAATTTATTGGACAAGATGCACACAACGTTTCAAAGCAGTAACTCTAATCTTCATCTTATAAAGTGTTTGAGTGCACACACTTCTTAAGGAGGTTTAAGTAACATTTCCTTTCTCATTTAAAAATATTCATTATTAAAATAAGATTTAAGAAATCTAAGAATATAATTACGATAATCTTTCACTTTTGTTGCTATTCTTTTGGTTTAAGAGCTCTATAATGATTATGATTCTCTTGTGCTAATGAAATAAAGTTGGGGCTAGAACTCATGTTATGTAATAATTTAATAGATTCTTAGTATCATAGTGATAATTTACCATTCCTCTTTCATTACAGGGAGATGGTATTATTCAGAACCTCTGCCAAACATATATTACGGATTTAGAAGCCACTTTGTTAATTCCTAAACCAATTGTCCTTTTAGAGAAAGAAGACCTATAAACCAACCTTAGTAAAAAGTAATTTCTAGAATGTCACAAATTTTAAAGGCATGGGGAGTTTGAAGGTGAAGATTCAAGTTGTGTTTTGGTATACGTAGAAAGGTGGCTATACACTTTGACAGGACTACTTAATTGTTCTGTGTTCAAACCTACTGCTCACATCTGGTTTGAAAAGATTTGGTAGTGGCCTGTTTCTAGAAAGACAAATCCAATACTAATGTGCACATACACTCGGATTAATTGGGGAAAGAGTCAGTTTCTCGTGTCCCCTGTCCCTTGTTTTACATTTGAAACCTGATTAAAATGGTTGACGTTTCAACTCCAAATTAAATCTAAGAATAATCAGTGAAGAATCATATCAAATTATTAGTTTTTCAACGAGGAGAGGATATAAGCTTCACAGCTAAAACAGACACAGCATAATTGAAAACAAGGCTATTGCATTCAGGTTTTAGTATTTCCTGACCCATTTCTCGAAGTGTCTAGAGAACACATTAGGTTCTTCTTGTATTTCTTTTAGGGATAATTACAGGTGACACAAACTAAATAGAATATAATGCCCTGGAAACTTAAGCTCTGCTTGTTCTTACCAGGTTAGCAAGCATGTAGTGGTAACCCCTTGAATGCTTCCCCAGGATCACAACCTGCAGAAATAAAAAATAAGAAATATTGCTTATTCAAGGACATTTTCAATTGCACAGTCATTGGGATGGCTAGAGCAAATTACTTTTAAATAATCGACAAAGCGTTAGGTCATTTATATATAGTAAATCATAGTTAGTTGGGCCAGATTTCTTTTTGTTGCATTTTACTTTCAGGCATAGGATACAGGGAGAATTGCTAATATGAAAGTTAAAAATGTCAACAGCAAGGGAAGAAAGCTCTCTAAACTTCCAGGTCAGTGGCATCATTATCACTTAAAATAGATGGCAAAAGTGATGAAACTGATGATCCCTCACCCATGAACTGGATTTCTGTACTTAGCTGTTGAGCTGGAAAATGGGCTGAACTTTGCATACAAATTAGAAAATAGAATGTATGGTACATTTTTCTTTCTTTATCTGGAATGCTTAGGGAATAGAACACTCAAGGAATGGGGTTAATGTGCTTTTTCAGGTTAATCGAGGTTGCTTTTGCTTATTGAAAACTTTTCTAGCAGAAGCAGTTGAGAAAAAAAAAACTTTTCTAAAATGCTTGCCTTCCTTTTCTTACCTTAATATGAAAGACTTGTGAACATCTGTACATCTTTTGGTGCTGAATGTGCCTTAAGGTAGTGGGGGAAGGGATTTTGCCCCTAGGGGTTATTTGGCAATGCCTGGAGACATCTTGATTGTCCCATCTAGGAGGGGGGACTGGTATCTAGTGAGTAGAGGCCAGAGATGCTGCTAAATATCCTATAATGCACAGGGCAGTCCCCACAACAAAGAATTATCCAGCCAAGAGTGTCAGTAGTGCCGAGATTGAGAAACCCTGCTTTAGGGTCATCACTCTTATCCTAATTTTCATGAGTAGCACTGTATTAATACGAAGCTTTACCGTTTACAAAGCGCATTTTTATTATCTCAAAACATGTAAGTGGATTGAACATTTTCCAACTAAATATATTGGTTGGCAGTTGAAAGGTTTTCACAGAATACCTGACATAAGCTTCTTTCCTTATAGTTAAGTAGAGCAAAAATTCTGGTTAATTGAAGATTTTATAAAATGTCATTGTTTTGAGTACTGACTGTATGCAGGAGTGGGAGCGAGGAGGGGGATATGATAGAGGTTAAAGACACAACCAGAGGCACAACCAGGTTTTGTGCAGGCCTGAAGCTAATATCACTTTAAGAGCCTTCTTTAAGAAAAATAATACAAAATTATGAATACAGTATTTGGAATAAGGCCTCAGAAAGAACCTGTGCGAGTAAGGGGCCATTAAACTTCATCATGTATTCCTCTATGGACACAGCTGTCAAGGGTCTAAAAACAGTTTGAGAAAACAATGTACACATATCAAACCAGAACTATATATAAAAGGTCATAATGATAATATTAAAAACAACTGCCCTTAATTGAGTTCCTAGTATATGCCAGGCACTGCGCTAGGTGCTGTATTTAATCCCTAGAATAATTAAACAGATTAAGTATCATAAGTTTCATTTTACAGATGAGGTGTCTCAACCAGAGAGAATTTAAGTAATTTACCCAAGGCCACACAGCTAAGAAATGCTAAAGCTGGAATTAGAACCTAGGTCTGTGTACCTCTAGAACCCACGCTCTTGGCAGTACATTACATGGTTTCTTAATATGTGCTAAATGTCAAATATCAAGAATTACTCTAGGTTCTCGGAGAAGAGGAAGAAGAGATGTCTAAGGCCTGCTGGGGTGGATAGGGAAGGCTCCCTGGAGGAGATGAGGTTTAAGCTGGCCCAGAGGTGTGGAACCACATATTTAAATATCGTGCTTATTTCAATTCATTTTAAGTACTGCGAGAGAGAGAGAGAGAGAGAGAGAGAGCGCTATTTTTGATTAATTTAAAATATGAGCCACGTATCTGACTGATTATTTACGGAGGAAATGAAAGGTTAATGAATGTCTTGAGGAGGTGATTTCTCATACCACTGTGACACAAAATGAGCTGTTAGGTATCTGCTGGGATGTATTCTTCAGTGTCCGCTTGTGAGAAACATCCTTCCTGGTGATGTTTGTTAACTTTGATGGCAAGTTGGGACCATACATTTGTTGAATTTTTAATTCCCTGAGAACCTTCAACATAATAAAATCAGAGGGTTTTGAGTTCTGTTAGAAAAATGAGCATGATTCCTAAGGACATCTGGCAGAGCTTGGAGAGAAATAAAGAAGCAAGCCCAAAGGAAACAGAGTAAGTCTGTCTCACCAGAGGCAGGGTTTAGTGTTCTTCTGAGCATAAGAAAGGCAGCAGGGAGCCACAGAAAACATAAGTGTTAGACGACCCCCGAAAGAGAACCCAGGAGCCCAGCCTTGTCACATACTCAGTTTGATTGTGGGCAAATCACTCAACTTTCTCCAGCCTCCATTTCCTTACCTGTAATCTGGGACCATGAGCCTGGCCTTTCCTATCTCAGCACCGTTGTCAGAATTAAACTGAATAACATCTACAAAAGTGTTTGGGATGTGCGTTATGTGATCGTGTGCGGTTAAATAACCGTGGAGAGAGGTCATTCACTAAGATAGTGTTTTTCAGGTTCAGAAAAACTTGAAGCTATTAGAATATCCCCTTTAGTCCATGCCCAGATGGTCTGTGCAAAGCAAACTCACTTATTTGAAGGTAGCTCTCTCACAGCACTACGCTTTCAAAATTTAGTTTAAACTGGAAGAGGTGGGAAAGTTCTCTAAAGATAGGAACCTCTAGGTGTCACAAAGCTGTTGCGTTAAAAGCCGTAATTATTTCCTCATCCTTACTTTCAGTGCCTTCTTAACTCTTATTTAACATACAGTTCTTACCAATTTTGGTTTTCTAGTTCACAGTAAGTGAAAAGCTACACATTAAAAGGGGTGTGTATGGAGGGGGGTGGTGATATTAGACAGGGGTACATTAGCAGCAGAGGAAGTGACAAACTGACTTAAAGGGGAAGAAGGAGTCCCCCCAAAAAGCAGACAACACTGCACTACAGCACAGTATAATCATGGATGTTCATCCTGAGTGCCTGAGTCATCAGGGTATGGCTTATGGCGTTCAGTAATTTCTGCTGAAAAACCTAGGGAAATTATAATACATCTGAGGGAATGCTCAAATGTATTTGAGCATTTGAGCATCAGAAATGCTCAAATTCCCGATAACTTAAGAGAGTACATCTCAATTATCTTGAAATGTTACTCACGTAGGGCAGCAATGATTCTACCGATGTGAGCTAAGTGAGGCCTCACTGCCAAAAGTGTCATGTTTTGCTCCTGATCTTTCCTTTCTTTGAAGTTTTGGTGCAGGGCTTATCAGAGTAGGGGTGGGATGGGAGGCTTGTGCGTAACACGGTGCACAAAGGAACAAGTTAATGGGAGCGCTTCTTGTTCAGTTAGTCTTAAATCTTTTTTCTTTCCATCTGTTACAGATGAACAAGGCATAAATTGTACCCTCAGTTCTTTAATGACTTTGGTAACCAAGAGAATATTCAACTTTGCTTTTACGGTAATTATAATCGCTCTTTCTGAACTAGTTTCAGAGCTTCAAGCATAAAAGCCGTTTTACCGTCTACTGTGTGAAATTTAAGGAGGAAGTATCAAGTTCCCGTCTACAGTTGTGTGTTCACTGTGCCTCTGTCAGATTTGTTGGAGAAGATGGATAGCTTGATACGATGGTAGATATGATAAAGGCAATAAGGGAATATGTGTGAAATGTAGATAAGATTCATTGTTTTAAGGAGATTTAGTTTTACGCCCACAAATAGGACCTGAAAGAAAGAATGCCACAGTCCTCGCTCACTGAAACTTAAACAGCAGGTGGCAGAGCATTAAATTATTTGTTGAAGGTCAGTGAATCATAGTCTACCCATCTGGGGGAGACCTCCCTTTACTGACTCCTCCATCCACTTCCCTGTGAAATTGGGGGCTGGGTATCACTGAGCAGTTAAAAATAATTCAGAAGATGTTCAGCTGGTTTTCTAGAGGCCCTTTCTCTTCCAATTTAATGCTTAATCTAGACATTTTCGTAATTTTAGAAATCTGAAGTTAAATTCCTCCATAAGACTACTCGAGAGAGGCCCACAGACCCTTTGGGGGCAAAAGCATCTGTTTTTCTATGCTCATATTTAAAAAAAATATGTGTGTGGAAAAGTGTCTGTGTTTTTTCCCTTGGATCCATCTGGTATGCAGATTAGGTTATTTGCAGACCTAAGTATCTCCATGTTTGGATTTTCTACATCGGTGCCAAAAAAGGATCTATGTATAATGATTGATCTTGCTTTGAGTACAGAACATTCCTTGCCGTTCACCTTAATCTGTTTCTCTTTGATTTAGGTACCCTGAGAACATGTGGCGGGCTGGGGGGAGAAATGAGGGCGGTTTCTGGTTTTAATTCACCAGATTTACCTGTTTATAGGTATTTTCTCTTTAAGAAAAAGCTATTAGACCACATTTTTTGGTGTGTGTTCAAAGAGAAGACATTTCTTCAGCGCCCCCCCTTCCCTTTTCTACTTCCTCAGTTACAAAAAGATACTGCTGTCCTACGGCAACCTATCTGATTTCAGCTGTGTTGGGAGTTAAATGGTGGTAAGCTACAGAAATCAGCCTCAGAATATGCCAGACTTCCCAAAAGAAGTCTTCCATCAGATATGATAAAAGCCGTTCATTTTCTTGAGTGAAAACCCCGAGCTACTAAATTGCTTTAGTCTTAGGAAAAATATATCAGAAGTCCATTCCTTTAGAATTATTTTTCTAATAATCTCAATCTGCACGCACATGCTCTCTAACCAAATGACAGTGCTTCATATTGCGGTCATCTCACTTGAATAAATGTGCTGGATGAGTGAGGCCGAGAAGAGACAATCACCCAAAGCCAGCCCAGTAGTGGGGGTGGCACAGATGGAAAACGAAAGGTTGAAGCTTTTCATAAAGAAGGAAAACGGGAGTATAACCGAGAAATCTCATCACTGTGTATACTGTCTTCAGGGGAAGCTTATGCAGAGAGAAGGCAACTGAATAGAAAATAAAATCTATTTTATCAAATCTAAAATCATCAAATAAAATGCTAGGATGTGAAGATTAGAGGACAAGGATTTCACCAAAGAACATGTCTTTGGGAAGTTTCACTTCCCAGACTTCAATATGGCATTCACTAAGATGAATGGAGTATGCGGAAGATGTAAACAGTGGGAGAGGCAAAGAGAACATACAAATAAGAGGCAGTAAATGGCCACAAGTAAGTTAAAGGAGCAACAGATTATTCCTGCTCGTACGAATAAGGGACCATTTCAGTGCATGTTGATCTTGGTGGGAACACCTCATTGTATTAGCCCTTAAACATCATTTCTCGAATTTCATTTCCTTACAAACTTCCTTAACAATTTGTGATCTATCCACATACCACAATACTATTATTTTCTTAACATTTATGTTTATAGCTACTCATTTACTTAAAGGTAGCGGTGTCCAAAGCAATAATATCCATGAAACTACATACAAGAAAATAAATACAACTGTGTGAAAATAGAATCTATTCATCCAGATGTCACTGAAAATCCTCTTGTGTACCATCAGGAGTGGTGGGTAATATTGCCTGAATGCAGTCGTGTCTTTAGGGAAGAGAATAAAGGTCATGTCTTCCTGTCCAGATAAAATACGGTTAATTTGCCTTATGGTTCAAATCTTAAAAGAGTATCCCCATCTACTTTCAAAGGTTCACGAGTCTTATAAGGGAGCAAAATGATGGGCAGTCTGGGAGGTAGCAGATAATGCCTGGGACTGCATACAAATGACAAATGTGGAAACTTACAAAGCCTTTCCTAAGGCAATTTCCATGTACTGCCCCACCTAGGAAGCCCAGCAGCTTTGATCAGCTAGAGTCCTTGGTCATAGGGCCAATAATAAATACTTAAAACATCTGGACCTTTCCATCATCTAACTTCCTGTAATGTGATGCATTTCCAAACACTGTGTCTTTTCTTGGAGTATCTCATCTAGAAGGCCTTTCACAGCACCCTATTTTTATTTGGAAATAACTCTAGATGTTTTTTCCGGGAGGTGAGGTAGGGGTGATTTTAACTAGTATTCAACCTAGAATAATACAGCAAAAAGAACATTAGTTTCTCTTCAACGTAGCCATATGTGTGACTTTTGTAGTCTCTGCATTTTGCATTGGCTATCCCCCCAAATCAGCGATAATTTATTTTAAACAATACATTTTAAATAACAGTGTTCTTTATGCATACTTTTATGAAATTTACTGTCACCTATTTTATGTTCACACTTATAGCAACTTTTGTTTTAATATTTACAACTTTATTCTAAATATCAAGTTGTATCTTTTTTCTTTTCTCTGTAGATCTTACAAAATTGTTTGGGCCCAAAGCACTATAATCCTGCATTTCAAGATCTACTTGAAGGACTGTATGAGTGGTAAGTAGAAGGCTTGGCAGTGCCACTAGACTCATTATTTGTATTTAAAAAAAAAAAAAAAGGAAAGGCAACATCTGGCATAAGGCTGAGCAGTCACTCCAACATGTGTCTTTTCCAGCCACAACCACTAGAGGATGGGTGGGATAACGTGGGACTTCTTCATTGGCCCAGGATTCACACTTTTCCATCTTTAGATATTTATCAGGATCAACAACTCTAGTATGTGCCCTGAAATGACACCTTATAGAACTGAAACTTGTAAGAGTCTAAAACTCTTTATAGATGTGATCTGAATCACCCTTAAAGCTTAGAACAAATAGGTATTTATTAAAGGTGATGTACTAGAAAGAGCCGTGAACATTGAAGTCAGATGGTTCTGGATTCAAATCCTGCCATTTACTTACTAGCTCCGTTACTGTGTGCAAAACTGAACCATGGACGGTTGGGTAGAGTTTTAGCGACCCAGGTTCAGCCCAGGATGTTGAGGCCTTCAAGTCAGGAGGGGAGAGGAAGAAACATGGTGTGGGGATGTGTCGAATGAGATGTTCTCCTTAGAACTCCCTGATTTTGCCTCTGTGAATGCACTTCCTGTCCGTGCGATGCTTCCAACATTTGATACCCTAATCTGTGAAATTTTCTGTTGGCTGAAGGAAGCAAGTGAATGTGTTTTTATTTTCAAGTAAAAGTAAATATCTCTCAGAAACCCAGTGTGTTTCTCGGGCCTTTGGTTTTCAGGATAGTTGCTTACTTAGCAGGTTTCTCTCTCTTCTGGGAGCCATGTCATTTAAGTTTATCTCAACTTGCAAATGGACGACAAATGATAGAGGCTTAGCTCCTGGGAGGTAAAACACAGAATTCTCCTAATTCACAAATGTTTGGGTTGGTCTTTCACTCTGGCTATTTGAATTTCCATCCTCTTCTTCATCTGATAGCTCATCCACCTTTGTGATCACACTGACACGATAAACTATTGGTAGCTCGAAGTCAGCCATGGTGGAAGTATTTACACCACAGAAATCAGCCAACACTACAAATCAGGGCTTTTCCCCTCACCTTGAGAGCCAGTTTACCTGCATACCACTGGATTCAGAAGGAATATAGACTGAAGTCCCTAGTGGATGGAAGCGTTGTTTCTCTTAACCACATTCCATTCGTTTCTTCTTTCAATGAACATTTGTTGAATGCCTGCTCTGTACCAATCCTGGGGCCAGACACAGGGGAGACAGAGGTCACCAAAACCTGGTCCCCAGCCTGGAGGATCTCACCATTAGGGTAGGAAAGACTGCCAAGTTAACAGACAACTATAACCCAGCAGGAGAAGTGTGAGAACAGAAATATGTACAGCAGACTGAGGAGAGAATGATTAACTCATAACCTGTTAGAGATAGAAAGTACTTTGTCTCCAACTAAAGACCTAAAGAATTTTTTCCCTGTGGTTTTTATAAGTGGGAGCCTGACAAACAGGCGACTTAAAGAGAATGCTATTTTGAAAACAAAGAGAGATGTATTTCAGAGGGCTATTTCTCTTGATTTCAGGAGAGCCTTGTTATTTCACAGTGCTTACACACTAGAGGGAAGATTTTTATTTGGACCAACTATAGGCATTTGTTGTGATGGTAAGCCAGGGCTGGCTCTATAAGAAATTGTGACTGAAATGATTCACTGGAAAAACTAAGTTAGAAGGGGTATAAATGGTTATACAGTAAATAAAAGGCCATCCGCTAAGGCCAATGCATCCCAGCTTTGCCAATTGCAAGCTACGTAAACTTAGGCAAGTTACTTAAACTCTCAGTGTCAGTTTTCCATCTGTAAAACAGGGAACATAGTAGTTGAGAGGCAGCGAAGTAGGGTGGTCAAGAGTATAGGCTAGACTACCTGGGTTTGGGTCCCTACTTTGCCCTTTTATAGCTGTGTGACTTCGGACAGTTAACTTAAACTCTGTGTTTCAATGTCCTCATTTGTCAAATGGGTCTATCATTAGCACCTACTTTACAGACTTGCAGTGAGGAATAAATGAAATAATGCACCTAAAGCTCTTAACACAATGCCTGATGCTTACCCTATCTGTATTAGTTAGGTTTTCCCTGCCTTATTCCTATTGCAGTCCTCCCTCCCTCTATCCTCCCCTGCGGCAATCACATCTATCCTTCAAGGCCCAGCTTATATGCAGCCTCTTCCATGAAGCCTTCCCTGATTTTATGTCCTCACTCTTAAAATGTAGAGAAGTAGTTTCCTGCCACTGTGGGGTGAGGGATTTGGAGAGGTATCAGAGCTTGTTGCAGAGGGGTATTGAGGCCACTGGTTAGGATAGCACTGGGTTGGAGGTACAGGAAAGGAGCTGAGGTTTGCAGTTGGAGTTCAGGGGGATAAGCTGAACTGGGGGTTAACCAACAACAAAGTAACTCACATTGCTACCCTCCACCGCCCCTTCCTCTCCTGCCTGCATCATTGATCAAAACCATGAATTCAAACCACACAGAAACTGTGGCTCTGAAGAAGATGTGTGTGGGGAGGTAGGGGATTGTTCTGCCCAGAGACAAAGGAGCACAGGCCATAACCTAATTTTTCACGTGTAGTCATCACAGTGTTTCTACCACAGGAGAGAACAGGGGCTGGGGCCGGGTGGTGAGAGGTGTGAGAGCAGAAATTTGGCAGGGTCAGGAAGATGGATCTCTCCTCTGCATTATACACCGTTGCTCGGGAGTCTCCGGCCGCCCCACTCTGACAGTAACAACTGGACTTGGCTCATCTACGCTTCATTTCAGGAGCAAGGAGGCATAGCTATTCCAGGCTTTCTCACTTGAATCCACAGAGGCCTTGGCTGTAGAGAGAACACTAGGGAACACGATTCACCTTCCTTGGTAGCTCAACCTCGGGAATGTCTTAGGACAGTATTTCTCAAAGTGGATGCTGTGTGGATTAGCTGGAGAATCTGTGAAGATGCAAGCACCTGGGCACCCCTCTCTAGAGATTCTGATTCACAAAGTCTAGGTGAGGGCCACGGAGTCTGCATTTTAACACTCAGATGATTCTGATGCACACTGAACTCAAAGAACTGCCTTTCCATATGATAATAAATGCACTTTGAAAAGCTAACAGCAGGACTGTCAATGATGGATTCTCATGAAAGGGGGTAGGAAGGGGGATATTGAGCTTACGGGGGTGCTCCCTTGGGGACCTCCCATGGGAAGCCGTGGGCAGGCAGGGGGCAGCCTGAGAACACCCACCCAGACTCCTGGGAAAGGTGCCAAAGGAGGAATTTCTCGGTAAACCCTGAGACAGAGATTTGAGGGTCAGTGGTTTAATTGGGAGTTGATTCCAGGATGTGCTGGTAGGGGAATGAGGACATGGGACAGCAAAGGGAAAGAAACCAGCACAGGTGCATGAATAAGCAGGGTGGGTCTGAGCAACTCTGGGAGTGGCGTGCCGCACGCCCACCTGAAGGGCCAGGAGGCTGAGGTCTGAGTCTTTCAATTCCCATTCACCACTGGCTGGTAGCTTCTGTCAGGAGGATTAATTCCTCCCCAACACTTCTGACTTGTCTGACTCTCAGGCTGAGAGAAAGTCTTCAAGTGGAGAATCGCATGTGCTTACAATAGGATGCCATTGGCATGTATGGAAACGGCTAGTGCCAAACATGGGTAGGGCACCGACAGCATCTGCTATAACTGCAGTGGCTTTATGTCACATATATTGTACTTTATCGTTTACATATTGCTTTGATATGCGTCACTGCAATTGATAAAAAAAAAATGAGGTGGGTAGTAAAACATGATGGTGGTGGGAGTGGCCTCTGGAGTCAGACCGACCTAGAACCGACCTAGTTCTTCCTCTTTGTAGCTGAGTGACCTTGGACAAGTCATTTTCCCTCGCTGATGCTCACTTTCCACATCTATAAAGTAGGGATCACAATGGCAGCTATTTCTTAAGGTTATTGTAAGGCCTAGATGCAGAAATGCAGAATTCCCAACAGAATGCCCATGATATTAGGGGATTCAACCAATATTCCTTCCCTTTCTTCCACCGCTCTCTCTCTTTACTTATCTTTTTCCCCACAGCACACAGCCCTAGTGTATGGCGCCAAGGTGGTGCTTAATAAATGTTTCTAACACGGAAGGCTTCAGTACACCCTGAAGAAAAGTCCACATTGCTTATGAGGCAGTAGATTGAAGGTGCCATTTAAAATAATACAAAGTCTAGAAAAATGTACTGCGGGGATGGGCATGGAACAAGCTCAGATGCAAGGAAGGCTTCCGCCCTGGAGAGGAAGATGTCTTTTAGACTAGATTTTGAATGATGCAGGGGAACTGTTTTTGGCAGAGAGAAGGGAAGGAGGAGCCCAGGTGGGAAGATGCCCTGGACAAGGGCCTGGTGGTGGGACAGAGACAAACATAAGCTAACATTTATTGAGCACTCACTGTGTACAAGGCACTGTGTAAAGTGATTTTTGTACATGCTTTATTTCATCAAATCCTTACACAACCCTGCAAGTTAGGCACTACAGTTAATTTCATCTTCCGTGTTAGGAAATTGAAGCACAGAGAAGTTGGGTAACTTGCCTGAGGCCTTACAGGCAGAACATAATGGAGCCTGGAGTCAAAATCATATGTGTCTGACTCCAAGCCCAGTCACTAAGTGTTAGCGGCTATAATGATAGTTACGAATCATAAGAACTATCATTGTTTCTGTGGAATGATCAGCTCCCACCATGGATTCGATAAAGACTGAGTACCTACATTTATTATGTATTATTACCTAAGTACGGAGCAGTTATAGCCTCAATCTTTGGAAATTCTCCTTTATTGTGGAGCATCCTGGGAAATTCCCCTTTGGTTTCCCCTAAGTATTTCTCAAAGCCTTGGGCTTGGTTCATATGATTATGACTCCCATTTTCGATTCCCTGTCAGCATGTGACATGAGTTGTCATTGTTTAATCACAAGCTGCAC